ATAATAATAAAAAAAAGTTGGTGACAATTTTACCCTCTTTTTTTAAATCACAAGTTTTATTCAGTGTTTTTCACCAAAATGTTGACATTTGAAGCAGTTTTGACCAGCTCCATACGTGGCTGAAAAACACAGGCTGTGGGGAATTCAGGAAAATGTTGTCAAATTCCCCCCTTTTTTTTCTTAAATCAAACATTTGAATTTTTCATTGCAGTTTCAAAAGCGGCTCTCGTGATCAGTGATTTCTGGGGTGCCTTAAAGCAGCCACACTGTTTTCAGAGGGAGGTTAGCTGAGCAGCCCCTTTCCTGGTGTCTGAATTGGGGCACTCAAAACCAAAGGTACTGAAATTTTAGGCACTGATCCTGCAAACACTTAAACACATGCTTAACTTTGTGCAAGTAAGTAATGACATTAGTGAGTCCTGCAGGTAACTTCAGTGGGACTGCTTACATGTGCAGAGTTAAAAATCATGCAGTTGTAGAGACAGGGACTTAGGCTGCTAAAATTGAATGATAAGATAATGACAGTGAATGATGCTAGGAACACAGGGAAAATGCCACACAATGAACCCTAAAATTATTGTTTTCCTTGATTCTGCTGCTGAAGAGACCAAAAAAAAAAATCCAAAAGATCTTACATATGTGTATGAAGCTACCTTTGCTTAGGAGCTGGCACATTCCACAAGATTTTGCAAGGGATCTGCAGATGTGTCTAACTTCAAAACCTAAAACTACAGCTGATCAAAAATAAGAGCTATTCAAACAGTTTTCAGAATGGATTCCCATTAAATTTCAGTGGGAATTGTGTGGCTAAATCCCAACTGTGCTTTAAAAAATCTCAAATATTGTTTTCTAGAGATACAAGCTTGTTCAGCACTGAAACTGAAGTTTCATCACTTAAATTTATTTAAATCTTCCACCATTTAAAACTTGCACCACTCAGGTTTCTGGAGTAACAGCATGCTCATTACCAGTCTGATCCTCTGAATCAACAGAAAGAATGCTATTGTCCATCGGGTTTGGAACAGACCTCAAAACTAATTCACCAGAGACTTGAGCAATAATTTTTGTGTGTGTATACTGTAAAAATATTTAAAATGACGGGTTGGCAATAGGTAAAATAAACCACAGTTAAGATTGTAGTTAAATTGTGGTTCAGTGTTGAATTCTGTGAAATCAATTAAAAATAAAATGCATAAATTGTTAACACTTTGCATCTGTCATTATCAAAACATTTTACATGGATATCTTGGGGGCAAAGAATTAATGTCATATTTGATAAGTCATAATTTCTTTAGACCAGTGGTGCTCAATCTTATTACACAGGAGGGCCATATAAATCCAAGTACAACCTTGTGTGGACCAAACGGATTCTACATATTTTAATAAGATTTAAAGTCCGCCATATTGATTTATATTTTAAGTTCAGTTTGTTTCATATGTATTTAGATAGTTTTCTTCTATGTACAGTATTGTCTGTTTAAAGACAAAACACTAATGAATTGGCCATTAGTATATTGTGTTGAAGCAGGCTGCGGGCCTTATGTAATGCTCTGGTGGTCTGTGTATGGCCAGTGGGCCTTAAATTGGGTACCCCTGCTTTAGACAGTGAGGGTAATTAACCATTGGAACAATTTACCCAGTGCCATGGTGATACAAGAGACTTTTTAGCTGCTCTGATCCTGTGTAAGAAATGCAGCACCCAGGCTAGAGGCATGCAGTCACACACAGCTGCAAACAAGCAGGAAGGGAGTAACATCAGGATTTGACTTACGCAAATTAGCATAACAAAGGTGGTGACAGTATCATAATACTTAGGCGTGCATACAAGTGAAGTTTGTTTAAGATTTAAGGCTTTTTATAAGTAGTACTTAATGATAGTTTAAAGTAGGTTTAGCTAGAAATCTGAAATGGAGGACTCAGGCTGAATTGACCAATAGCAGACAGAAGATTGGGATCCAGCCTCTCTCTGGCCCTTCTTTTAGCATCTCCAAAAGACAAGCTCCCAAACAACTCCATGGAAAAATCATGGAGCAGGTCCTCAAGGAATCAATTCTGAAGCACTTAGAGGAAAGGAAAGTGATCAGGAACAGTCAGCATGGATTCACCAAGGGCAAGTCATGCCTGACTAACCTATTTGCCTTCTATGACGAAATGACTGGCTCTGTGGATGAGGGGAAAGCAGTGGACATGTTATTCCTTGACTTTAGCAAAGCTTTTGATACAATCTCCCTCAGTATTCTTGCCAGCAAGTTAAAGAAGTATGGGCTGGATGAATGGACTATAAGGTGGATAGAAAGCTGGCTAGATCGTCGGGCTCAATGAGGAGTGATCAATGGCTCCATGTCTAGTTGGCAGCCAGTATCAAGCGGAGTGCCCCAAGGGTTGGTCCTGGGGCCAGTTTTGTTCAATATCTTCATTAATGATCTGGAGGATGGCATGGATTGCATCCTCAGCAGGTTTGCAGATGACACTAAACTGGGAAGAGTGGTAGATACGCTGGAGGGTAGGGATAGGATACAGAGGGACCTAGACAAATTAGAGGATTGTGCCAAAAGAAATCTGATGAGGTTCAACAAGGACAAGTGCAGAGTTCTGCACTTAGGACGGAAGAATCTCAGGCACTGCTACAGACTAGGGACCGAATGGCTAGGCAACAGTTCTGCAGAAAAGGACCTAGGGGTTACAGTGGATGAGAAGCTGGATATGAGTCAACAGTGTGCCCTTGTTGCCAAGAAGGCTAATGGCATTTTGGGCTGTATAAGTAGGGGCATTGCCAGCAGATCGAGGGATGTGATCATTCCCCTCTATTTGGCATTGGTGAGGTCTCATCTGGAGTACTGTGTCCACTTTTGGGCCCCACACTACAAGAAGGATGTGGAAAAATTGGAAAGAGTCCTGCGGAGGGCAACAAAAATGATTAGGGTGCTGGAGCACATGACTTATGAGGAGAGGCTGAGGGAACTGGGATTGTTTAGTCTGCAGAAGAGAAGAATGAGGGGGGATTTGATAGCTGCTTTCAACTACCTAAAGGGGGTTCCAAAGAGGATGGATCTAGACTGTTCTAAGTGGTACCAGATGACAGAACAAGGAGTAATGGTCTCAAGTTGCAGTGGGGGAGGTTTAAGTTGGATATTAGGAAAACCTTTTTCACTAGGAGGGTGGTGAAGCACTGAAATGGGTTACCTAGGGAGGTGGTGGAATCTCCTTCCTTAGAGGTTTTTAAGGTCAAGCTTGACAAAGCCCTGGCTGGGATGACTTAGTTGGGGATTGGCCCTGCTTTGAGCAGGGGGTCGGACTAGATGACCTCCTCCTGAGGTCCCTTCCAACCCTAATATTCTATGATTCTAACTACCCTCCACTGACTGACTTAGGGTGACCAGATGTCCCGATTTTATAGGGACAGTCCCGATATTTGGGGCTTTTTCTTGTATAGATGTCTATTACCCCCCACCCCCTGTCCCGATTTTTCACACTTGCTGTCTGGTCACCCTAGACTGACTGTACCCACAAAACTGGGGTGTGGGAGCCAGGGTCTCATCCCCATCCAGAATCTCCCTGGCCACAAGAGGAGATGGGGGAGGAAGCTGGGGGCAAATCAAGCAGAGGCAACTGTGCCCACAACCCTGGTCACTGAAATACTTCAGGCCCTCGGGGCAGGTGAGCATATCTTGCTGGCTCCTCTGTCAAACACAAAGGGTCCTCTGAGCTGAGAGTGAGGCAGGGAAGGGAGTTACGGTGAGACATGGAGGGGAGCATCTCCTCGTGGGGAATTGGATCTTGTCCTGGGGCCCCTGGCAGGGAGTTTGTGACATCTGGTGACTCAGGCTCTCTATTCCCAGACAGTGAAGGGTGGACCAGGACTGGGTAGTAATTAGAAGGGAGGGGATGGCTGGCCGGGAGTCAGGACTCCTGGGTTCTATGCCCAGCTCTGGGAGGGCAGTGAAGTCTAGTGGGTTAGAGCAGTAGGGGGACAGGGCTGGGAATCAGGACTCGTAAATTCTATGCCCAGCTCTGGGCGGGGCAGTGGACTCTAATGGGTTGGGGCAGGGCTGGGAATCATAACTCCTGGGTTCTTTTTCCACCTGTGCCACTGGCCTCTCTGTAACCTGGGTCCTTTGCTCACTCTGGGACAGTTTTCCTCTCTAAACATTTCACATCATACCCCTTCCTAAGGGGATGATTGTTTCTGTGTATTTTTGGTTTAAAACTTGTAGAAAAGGAGAGAGGGGGAAAAGACCAGAAAAACCTATACATTATTTCTCTGTCTCAAGCGGGAAAAGCTCTACTCCCTCCTTCTCCCCCCACCAGTAGTCTCCCCTCAGCCAGACATGCCTTTCACCCCAGATCAACCCAGGCTGCTCCCCCTGCAAACTCCAAGCCCCTCCAGCTCTGTATTTACACTGGCGTAAGTCTTGGACACTTCCACAAGTGTGATGAAAGTCTCTCCCCTTGGAGGTTCTTCCTGCCAGCTGGGTTCCTGTCTGAGTGGGAGCCTTACAGAGACAGGAGAGCCTGGCAGTACTAACATTGGCCTCCCCCATCTTGCCCTAGGAGGGGATGGCTATAAGGAGACTGCGGGAGGCAGGGGTTCGGGGGGGGACGGGGACCAGGGGTTGGCTGAGGAATCCTGAAAAGAAAAGGGACGTGGCCCCGATGAGGACGTGGCCCCAGGGAGCTCAAATCCTGAAGCCCAATGTAGGAGTGTCCACCAAACGGGATTGCACTGACATAAACTAAACTAATTTAAAAACAGATTAGGGAGAGGGCTGCAAGGGAAGTGAAGGAGGGAATCAGCGTTCACACAGAGACAGGGGTTTAACACGCTTTAGTTAATCTGGCCTGATTTCCCATTCACACGACCCCTCAATTAAAACCAGTGCAATATCTGGGGGTGGACCAGCCCTGGGAGGGGCTGTCTCTAGCTTATTCATTTCACTGGTTGCTACCGCAAGAGGGCTCTGCCTATTGCTGCTACGTATGGGGTTAGGCAGGGAAACATCCCTGGCTTGTTTGCTGGCTGGTGAACTTCCTGGGTCAGACGCTGCTGCTCGGTCTCCATTGTGAGCCGTGGGGAGCCCGGGCTGAGCCGCTGCTGCTCCCCTGCGGGGGCTGGAACCAGCCCCTGGGGCAGCCCCGGGATCTGCCGACACCAGCTCCTGAGCCGGAGCCTGCAGGTGAGGGGAGAGACCCGGGGGAAAGGGCTGGGGCCGGGCAGGAAAGTGACTCTACATCACCGGCCGTGGGAGGCTCAGATCTCGAAGCCCCTGGGAATCTGCCCCCTTGTTACTGCACGGAGGGCTGGGAGCTGAGTTAACAGCAATTAAGCTGCTGCCTTTTTGCCGCTCAGGGGGTAAAAATGGGGAGACATGCCAAGGAGGCAAAAGAGGGGAGAGGAAAGGGATTGGGGAGGCCATGAACAGCTGTGGGATAGCTACCCATAGTGCAATGCTCCGGAAGTCGACGCTAGCCTTGTACTGTGGACGCGGTCCGCCGACTAGAGCACTTAGAGCATTTTATGTGGGGACACACACAATCGGCTGTATACAACCGATTTCTATAAAACCGGCTTCTATAAATTCGAACTAATTTCGTAGTGTAGACATACCCTTAGACTCATGGGAATGGCCCAGGGATGTATTGGTGGAACCCAGGAAATACGATGGTGTAGCTTGCTCCTTCCTCTTCTTTCAGTCAGCCATTGTGTGCTTGCACTTCTCCCCAAAGCCTTTTCTTTTATGGACCCCCAAAGGGAATGATAGATAGGCCCACCCGGCGGATAAAATAGCGAGCGGATGGGCTAGTCTACTTTTCAATACACCAATTTTGGTTCATTTATTTCTGGTGTCTCGCTTTTCTTGTTTACCAAGCATGATCTTAACAGAGTCCTTGAGTAATATCAGGAGGCCGTTTTGTTCTTTGGACTAATGCTGTCTGTCTGTCTCCCTTTTGCACCTTTTCCCCATTAATATTTGTTATTGGTCACTGTCATGGTTCATTAACTTTCACTCACTTTTTAAGCTCACAATTAGGGTAAATTTGTAGGCCCAATTATCACAACACCTCTCTGGTTCCCATGGAGGCTTTCACCCCATGGAGTTCCAAAAGCTCTAGGTAAACATCCTTTGGGAGGGTTGCTTCCCCCAGGACTGTCTCTGAAGTAGGAAAGTGGTGGCTTTCTATCCTGTGGGGGGAGGGGGGTATAGAAATTTCAAGAATCCTCTAGGTCCTCCATCCACCTAGCACTCCTTTGCTTTAATCACAACTCCTCAAATGTTGTTACCAAATCCCCTCAGGATTTGGTTCACGTCTGCTCGTGGTCTTGAAACTGCAAGAATTTCTGGGTTTGGAGGAAACATAATTTGCATTGAGCAGCAGAGAGGAAAAGCCAGCTCCTGCCTCTGCCTGGTCTCCGCACTGCTGGGGGAGTGTCCTGCCCTGGGGACAGTGTTGGGGGATCCCCCAAAGCGAATCCTTGATTCTGCTCTTTCCTAGAGTTTGCTTCAGAGATTTTGTTTGTTAGTTACTGGGAGGGTTTGAAAATGTCCTGGTGGGTTTAGTCCTGTGGGAGGGGCCAGATCTGCGCTGTAATGAAGTGATCTTTTTCCCACCATTGCAGGGTCCAGAGCGTCTGTCTGCAGGGAAAGAGCCTGGGGGGAATCGGGGTGTGAAATGGATTAATGCCCCTTATGGACCCTGCTCCATCGCCCTTCTCACCCTGACAGGCTGCAGAATTGCGTCCACGTTTCGCTCCAGATCCAGAGACTGGGCAGAGAAATGGCTTCTGCACAGCTGGTGCAGGATGCAGCACAGCTCAGTGAGGTAGGGGATTTCCAGGGAGCTGCTGAAGGGTTTGTCCTGGAGAGGGGCAGGCGGGGAAGGAAATACACAGAGGGAGGGAATAGGAGGTGTGGACAGGGTGTGAAAAATCTGCTGGCACTTCTTAAAACTGAGGGGGAATGTCTACTCTGCCCATCTGTGGAACAGGAAACTAGTCACTTCACCTGGCACTGAAAAATGTATCTGACTCCTGCTAGCCACAGCCTGAGGTGACTAGCCAGCAAGCTGATGAGGGGGAGCACCAATGAGACCAGGGAAGAGATCCCATCTCCCTACATTAAGCCACTGAGATTGCTGGAATTCTTACTGGGATGCTGTCCATGGACTGCGCTTAGCGACAGACAGGAGATGGAGCCCCTATCTAATTGCAATGCAATAGAGATCCCCACACAGACTGCTTCAGACTGTTACGCTACTCCCCAGGAGCTTCCTGTTGCCCCCACCCTCAATTAATAACTCCTGTGCAGCCTCTGCTACTGCTGAGTTTCACAGTGGGCAGCAGCAGGAGAGAGAGTTTCTGATCAGTTTCACAAACGCCCCCAGAGCTCTGAAGAGCAGCCTGGAATTGACCAGCAGAGATGGCTGCCTCTGGGCAGACTGGGGAAGGCAGCGTGGCAGCTTTAAGGAGAAGGCTGAATCATTTTTTATCCTCTAGACTGGTTGGGAAGAGCATTGTTTTTTAAGCTTTTGGAGGGCTGCAAAAATTTGTGCTGCTGCCCAGGGGAAAATTCCTGGTTCTCTGAAACCTTTTTCTGTGCTAGGGAAGATCAGCTGCACTGAGACAGCAATATTGGAAGCTCCAGCTCCACACAGTGTGGGCTTGAATGGGCTTTACCAAGATTTTTAATTACACTAAATACGTTGGTAATGCACATTGGAAAACATAATCCCAACTATACATATAAAATGATGGGGTCTAAATTAGGTGCTAAACCACTCAAGAAAGAGATCTTGGAGTCCTCGTGGATAGTTCTCTGAAAACATCCACTCATGGCAGTCAAAAAAGTGAACAGAATGTTGGGAATCATTAAGAAAGGGGTAGATAATAAGACAGAAAATATCATATTGCCTCTATATAAATCCATGGTATGTCCACATCTTGAATACTGTGTGCAGATGTGGTTGCCCCATCTCAAAAAAGATATATTGGAGTTGGAAAAGGTTCAGAAAAGGGCAACAAAAATGATTAGAGGTATGGAATGGCGGCCATATAGGGAGAGATGAATAAGACTGGGACTTTTCAGCTTGGAAAAGAGACGACTAAGGGGAGATATGATAGAGGCAGTGATGAGCTGCCAAAATCTGAACAACTGGTTCCCTCCTCACCCCACAAGGAGGTCATGGGCTGCCCCTGCCCCCCCCCCCCGGGACTCCTGCCCCATCCAACCCCCTCCTTCCTGACTGCTCCCCCGGGACCCTTGCCCCCATTCAACCCCCCTGTTCCCGCCCTCTGACTGCCCCGACACCCCCCCCCGCGAACTCCCCAGCCCTCTATCCAGCCCCCTTACCGAGGTGGCTGGTGGCGCTACAGCCGCGCCACTCGGCTTGAGCTGGGCCACGCCACCGCCGCGGAGCACCTGGAGCACCGGGTCAGGCTGAGCTCGCAGCCCCTCTCCCCCACGCTTCCTGCGAATCAGCTGTTCACGTGGGAAGCCTGGGAGGGCTGAGAAGCAAGCAGTGGCTTTGCGCTCAGGCCCAGGGAGGTGGAGCGGAGGTGAGGTGGGGTGGGGAGCAGTTCCCCTGCGCGCCTCTTCCTCCTCCCCCCCCCCCCGGTTACCTGCTGCGGCACAGGTGGACCCCTGCCCCACCTCACATCCGCTCTGCCTCCGCCTCCCTGGGCCTGAATGCAAAGCCACTGCTTGCTTCTCCGCCCTCCCAGGCTTCCTGCACAAACAGCTGATTTACGGGAAGTGGGGGGGAGGGGGAAAAGCAGGGCAGAGTGTTCAAGGGAGGAGGTGGAGCGGAGGTGAGCTGGGGGCAGGGCGGGGATCTGGAGCACCCATGGGGTCGGCGCCTAAGGCGCCACTTTTGGTCACTTCAACTTATCGGTTGTTAAATTTAGAAGCCCTTTTTTAGAACCGGTTGACCCGTGCAGGACAACTGGTTCTAAAAAAGAGCTTCTAAATTTAACAACCGGTTCCCATGAACTGGTGCGAACTAGCTCCAGCTCACCACTGGATAGAGGTCTATAAAATCATGACTGGTGCGGAAAAGGTAAATAAGGAAGTGTTATTTACTCCTCATAACACAAGAACTAGGGGTCACCAAATGAAATTAATAGGCAGCAGGTTTAAAACAAACAAAACACAATGCACAGTCTGTGGAACTCTTTGCCAGAGGATGTGAAGGCCAAGACTATAACAGGGTTAAAAAAGAACTAGATAATATCATGGAGGATAGATCCATCAATGGCTATTAGCCAGGATGGGCAGGGATGCAAAATCATGCTTTCAAGTGTCCCTAGCCTCTGTTTGCCAGAAGCTGGGAATGGGCGACAAGGAATGGATCACTGGATGCTTATCTGTTCTCTTCATTCCTTCTGGGGCACCTGGCGTTGGCCACTGTTGGAAGACAGGATACTGGGCTAGATGGACTTTTGGTCTGACCCAGTATGGCCGTTCTTATGCTACTTTCAGATCCACGTTTCGCTAGTATGTATGTGGGTCTGGTAAACCACAGCATGGACTTCTACCACTCAAGCTAAAGAAGTAATACCGTTCGCTGGGGCAGTAATAGTTAGCTAACTTCTCATGGGTCAGCCACTAACTAGTGGCAGTAGTAGACTATTACCTTCTTGCAGACCAGCCCCTAGAAGGGTGTGTCTAATGTATTGAACAGAATAGCAGGAGCAGACAGAAATTCATGTGATGCTGGTGAGTTTCTTAGCTGCTCCCAGGCTCTGTAGAATGACTCTGAAATGGATGAGGTTTTGTTCTGCTGCTATAAGTGCTGAGCAGCACAAAGGGGCCAAAACTACCTATCGGGAGGAAACGCGGCAGCATCCGTGCCCCATTTGAATTCATCTTCTGAGCCAGACAGGCCAGGATCTTCTTGTCCTTTATGATGAGAGCTTTAATTCTGTAGAAATCCCCTTTGCTTGCCAGGGAAAATGTCTGCTCTTTGGGGCCAAGGGGGATTTTTTTCCAGCCCTGCCTGTGACTGAGTTGGGGTTGTTGCTGAGACAGCAGGTTTTAAGTGGGGGATTGTTGTTGATATAGATGCCGGTGACCTTCGAGGATGTGGCTGTGTATTTCACTGACGAGGAATGGGCTCTGCTGAACCCCGGTCAGCGAACCTTCTACAGGGACGTCATGCAGGAGAACTATCAGAATGTGACCTCACTGGGTAAGGATTCCTGTCCCTGCAGGTGTCAAGCTTGGGGGCTGAGGAGGTCTCTCTGAAGCACCCAGGCTGGCTTCTGCTTGGGGGGGTCTTCTCTAGTTCCTTACGTGTCAGTGTGATCAGCCCCAGAACCCATGTGAGGGGGAGTGTCTCCTACATACCCTTCTGTGGATTAATGGGGATTGAGGATCGAACAGCCTCCTCGGGTCTCATCCTGTCCCTCCACCTTGGAGGAAGGCAGGGTTGTGTTGATTTCAGCGTCCAGGCCTAAGTTCTAAATGTCTGGAGGGATGGGGCTTCTGCCCCTGCTGAGACTGTTTGTTTTCCCCCCTCCCGCTGCATTATCTTGCCACGGGATTTCTCCAGGTTCTTCCTCTCTCACCAATTTTTCATGCTCCCCGTCTTGATTTCTCTGGTTGGAGACAAATTTCTTTAAAGCAGTTCAGCCTCTCGGCCATTTGTGGTATCAATTTCCTCCCCTTTCTGACTTGTCCTCCCCCACTAGGGCATCTTTTCCCCCAGTAACTTGACACAAAATCCCTCCTAGGTCCCTCTAATCCTTTTGGCTGTGTAGCCAGGGTGAGTCCCAACTGTCCTCAGCCAAGTCTGAGTCCAGCATCTAAGCTCACCTCTCCTGGGTTTGGCTTTATTTCTAACACCAAAACCTTAGCTTGAGCTCCTCTCACAGCTTGGCCATTCCCAGTGCCTCCCTCCAGGACCCCCTGCCTCCCAGTTCTCTCTCCCCACCCCCACTTCCCTTATAGCCAGGAGGGAACTACCAAGCTGCCCCAGCCCTAGTGAGTGACCAGGGTTCAGCCAGTGGCTCCATGCAGGGTCCCAGCACCTGCTCCCATGCTGCACATGCCAGGAGCACCTCCCCCATTACAGGCTGTGGGAACTCATTTACTCTCTTCCCTGCAGCCCTGTCTGACCTTGAATAGCCTTGTTCACTTTCCTCCAGTTTTCCAGCATGGGTTTACTTAACCTCTGGATCTTTCAGCCAGCCCCTCCTAAGGGACTCTCCTTTTCCCCCCCCAGGCTTTACATTCTCTAGGGCAGGGGCAGTGGTGGTAGCCTGTACAGCACTTGTGGCAAAGGAGCCTTCCTCTCTGACCTGGGGCTCCGGAACGTTCCCACAATATATTGCAAATAACTTGGCACAACATTAGCTAAGGTTGCTTCCATCAGTTAACTAAATGATTAGGAAATGCAAAGTTAGGGATCAAAAAGTTGCAAAGGCAAATGTTCTGATGTTAGGAAATGCCTGGGCAATGTTCATTCGGGCCACTTAATGCAGGACCCTTCTGCATGTGCATTATGGTACAGCCTTTAACATGCAAAAGTGAAAAGATTTGGAAGTGACTTGCCCAACAACACACAAACTTTGTGACAGAAGCAGGGATAGAACTCCACGTCTCCAGGTGGCATTTGACCATCCTAATTACAAAACCATCCATTCTCTTCTGCAATCCTCTGCCTCATTCACATCAAATCTTCTAGCATTCTGCAGTGAATGAGGCAGACAACATTCCTTCCCTACAAAACTGAGATTCATTCCCAGAGCAGAAGTGGCCTGTGCACCAAATGAACCAGGGGACCTGGTTTAAATAAATTAGTCTTTAGTTACATGATCCTATATTATTATAATGCACATGCACAAGCACAAGGGGGGCAAATTAAGGTTGCATGGGCATTGCTCACTCTTGGCATTTTGCAACTTTTTGATTCTCTGAATCCTTCATTTTTGTATTTCCTAAATTTTTATGTTTTAATTTATTGATGTGAGCAACCTTCACTAATGTTAAACTTAAGGAAATTAAAAAATACTTAGATTTTCTTTCTATTTTTTTTTTTAGTGTAGGCTTGGAAGGATTAGATTTTTTTTTTTTACCAGTAAATGCTGGCAAATGTTTTCACTGTACGCGCAAACTGACACACACAAAAAATCAATGGGAGATAGGCAAAGTAAGAATGCTGCTTGAGAATTTTAGTGTTTGTATATTTTGACACATGACAGTGTGTGTTTTAACAGTTATAAAGCTTTAACTTTTTGAATATCCATATTTACTGTCATCATTTGTCTGTTGCCCACACAATTTCTGGCAACTGTGAAAATTTAAATGGATTAATTGAAAAATATATGCTTAAAAATACAGTGATATTATCCTTTGAAATTATATTTTAAAAAAAGAATCAAGTTCGGCCAAGTGTACTTATATGCAATTTAAATAGTAATGAATGTACACCTTTATTGTCTTCAGTGCATTGTATTGGCATTATCCTTGTGGAGCTCCATATTTCATTACTCCATGCTATGTTGTGCAATATATTGAAAGTAACTAGATTAAATCATACTCTATATTTACTGCAACTTCTAAATGACTTGCCTCAAAACAAAAACAGAAAACTGAGTAGGAACCCCTATCTGTAAGAAAGTAGGAAGATAAGAGGTAACTATTCAGAGAGAAATCCCCCCCCCCTTTTCCCCCAGTAGTAAAAGCATGTAAACTGGTGCTTCTCAACCTGTGACCCAGTCAGCACACAGCTGCAGACCATGTGACATCCTAAGGGCCGTGTGTGTGTGTGTGTGTGTTACACGTAACACATAGAGCCACATATGTGGCCCACAGTGGTAAATAGATTGAGAACCGTTGATATGAACAATGTACATGAAAAAGAGCTGTAATTTTTGTATCTTACTTTCATGTAACTCTTTTGTTGAGGAGAGTAACCAACAATTACCCTCTGGAAAGAAACAGTGTAACTTACCCCAGGTGACATGGCAGGAACTCCTCCAGAGCCAGTGTGCTTTCATTACTGCTCGTCCTGGAAACCTTCTTTTTAATGAAGTTATGGTCATCAGAGGTAACAGGTTGCCCTGGCAGCTGTCATGACAACTAGGGTCCTAGTGACTTGGGTAGCAAATGTGCCCTGGGGGAAACGGGCTTTTCTGGTGTTTAGCTCTCCCAAATTTCATTCATTTCACCCCACCCAACCTCCAACATGCAAATACAAAATACACAGTGGAGATGGTTCCATACATGAATTGTTCAAATTCCCTATGGCATATTTACAAAAAAAGATGCAACACTGAGGTACAGACCCTGTCAAACAGAAAATTCTGATGCAACCTTAACTAGTCTTGCTGCTGCAAGACCTTAATATTTAGAGGCTGTCATTGGGGAGCAGACTAATGCCCCAGCTTTCTCCAGAACTGCCTCTGCACTCACTGGAGATCTGAATTCCACAAATGTGCTTTTTCTGACATCTAATCCCCCTGAATGGTTGCATTCTGTTCCCTTCTCTTCCTTACTGTGCTGAATCCCACTAGCTCATGCTTCTTGGTCCCGACTTCCCTAGGACTTTCTCACCATGTCTGAGCCCATCTCTGTCAGTCAGAAGTGGCTACAGGCTGCCTTCCACTGTGGCTGGAGTCTCCTCTTTCTGGGACATAAAGCTACCTTCTCAGTATTTTGTGAACCTCTTTTGATGCATGTCTGGCTTGAAGACTTGATCCGAGCAGAGATGGCCTGGGACCTGGCTCCCTAAGAGAGAAGCTTTCCCTGGGCTATAGAGTCAGGATTGCAGACAGTGGGGGGCCTAAACTGGAGCCCCATTTATACAAGAGAAAGAGCTGCTGGCAGGGCATTCTCTGTTGGAACCCTCCACCTTTGGAACTCTTTGCCGCTCATTAGCTTGCAATACCCTGCAAGGCCCATGGTTTGTCCACAGCCATAAGGTCAGGCCAGGTTATAGTAGAGGGAAATTCTGGAAGGGATTCTGTCCTGGTTGGTAGACTATTAAATAGGAACCCCCTCTTCCAGAGATTTGCTCAAAGTAGAGATTGCTAATGGAGGAGCATTTAACTGGGCATCCAGAGGCTTGGAAGGACGTCAGAAGGATTTTACTGTTTTGAATGGGCTAGAATGTACATTTGAATCTTTGTTACCACCCCCATTGATAATTCACTTTATCTTCCCTGGAGCAGGATTTCTGATTTCCAAACCTGACATGATCTCACAGCTGGAACAAGGGGAAGAGCCGTGGGTCCCAGATCTCCAGGACTCTGAGGAAAGCAGGATCCTAAAAGGTGCCCACACGGGTGAGGATTTGGTTAAACTGACTTATAAAGCATCCATCTGGGATTCCAACAGAGGTCCCAGGAGCTCCCCTAGTTTTCCCTTATCTCACCCAGGTCAAGACTATGCCCAGCAGGTGCTGTATCCTCATGGCAGACATATCACATGGCTTTCCCCCCCGCCCCCGTCCTGACACCTGGCAGTTGCTCACTTCCGACTGAATGTTCTCATGGGATGCAGATGCAAAATTGGTCCCATTTTTCCATCTCGTTGGGGGATGGGTTTAGTGAGCTTTGCATCCTAATATTTCAGTTTCCCAACAGCTATTTAGGCTTGTTTCACCCTTTCCCCAGCATAGAAAATGACTCGTGTCTGGATTCTCTCCCTGTCCCAGCAGGTGACTGGATGGTGAGTGAGAACGAGGAGGAGAATCCCCCACAGAAAGCTCCTAAACAAGTGGAGTTGCATGGGTTGCTATTGGGAAGATCCATAGGTGATGCTCCCGCACAGGGAGAAGCTGGTGGGAGTCAGCTTGGATCAAAGGAGCAGAAGGAAAAGCACTCAGGGAAGGGACAGAGCAAATCCACTCCCCATGAGGGCGTTTCCAGAGACGTCCACAAAACCACGGTCCAGCAGACCGGAGAGATGCAGAAAATATGCCAGTACTGTGGGAAAATCTTCAGCTGCAACTCACACCTCACTCGACACCAGAGAACCCACACGGGGGAGAGACCCTATGAGTGCCCCATCTGTAGGAAAAGCTTCGGTCAGAGCTCGCACCTGATTGTACACGAGAGGATCCACACGGGACAGAGACCCTTCAAGTGCGACGAATGCGAGAAAAGCTTCAATAGCAGCACGCGCCTCGTTGGACATCAGAGATGCCATAGGAAGAAGAAACTCTCTAAATTCCCTCTGTTGGCTAGAGCAAATCCCACATTTCCCAATTCCTTGAGTATCCAGCTACCTCTCTCTGGGGTCAGGGGGCAGCTGCAGGTGCCTCTGGTCTGCTCAGTGAATCTCTGGCTCTGCCTCCAGTAGCAAACCCCAAGCAAAGGAGGAGAAGCCCCGATCAGTTTTTCCTCATTGCTGCACTGCCAGGCCCCTCTGCCTCTTGCCAGCCAGGGTGGGGTAGAGGAAAGAAGAACCTAGCTCCCCTAGCAACTCCTCTCCCTGGACTCAAATCCATTTCCACTAACCAATTCCTTGAACTAAGCCACCTTTCTCCCACCAGAGATCTCTCTACACTCACTGCTGGGTCTTGGGCTGCCCTCTTCCCCCTTATTGGAGCTATTTCAGGTGGGGTGGGTGTCCCAGAGGCCCTTCCCTTGTAGACTTTGGGAGGAAACCAGGGAGTTCAAATGCTGAGGACTAAGACTCAGACTTTAAGGTCAGAAGGGACCATCATGATCACCTAGTCTGACCTCCTGCATATTGCAGGCCACAGAACCACCCTTCTAACAGTCCCCTAACCTCTGGCTGAGTTACTGAAATCCTCAAATCATGATTTAAAGACTTCAAGTTACAGAGAATCCACC